CTTCCTTCCTTCCTTCCTTCCTTCCTTCCTTCCTTCCTTCCTTCCTTCCTTCCTCTTAAAACTTACGGACAGCCACACGCCCTTCCTCACCCATGTAGAGGTGTTGGACTACAATGCCTACTATTGCCTTCAGGAAGAAGGTATGGGCATTGCCCTTCGGAAGGTGACAGATGGGGCAGGCTGCCAGCTCAGGCACTCGATTGGGAACTCTAGTCTGCCCTTTCCAACTTGAGGTGGGCTTGCCTTTGCAAGTTGTTTTAGGATCAGTGGACATTCTGCATTTAGCCTGCCCAGCATTGCTTTATTCATTTTTTAAGGAAGGGTTAGAAGCTACATGGGAGAGTATAGGAGGGTCACTTTCCCAAGGTTGGACCTGGGGGGGGGGGAGGCATGCATGGTGAAGGTTTACTCTGACTTGGGCATTTCCGCCCTCCAAAGTTTGGATCTGAAGAACGTGTTGCTGTTATACCGGGCGCTGGGGAATGGATAACTGATGATATCAAGTAAGATTAGCCAATAGAAGAGAATATACAACCAAGCTCAGAGAACCCCAAGGACTCCACAAGTGAGATGAGTCTTGCCTTCTTGAAACAGCCTTCTTGAACAGCCTTCTTGAAATGCCAGTTAGGGGCTGGGATCAGATGGTTCCTTCCCCTGTTTCAGGAGAGAGGCCTGGCATTTAGTTAAGTTCTGGGGCTGGACCCAAATTCACCCCTTTGGAGAGCTTGGAAGTCACATTTGGACAGTCAAGATTGGGGAAGGGCAAGGTAGAGGCAGAATAAAGAGAACAAGTTGAGGGAGACCAAACTCCATAAAGCTGGACTTGATGAGTCCTCTTGTTAAGTTCTACATCCAGCACCATGCTGGATCTGGCTATGTGCTTAGAAAAAAATCCCAGGGTGGATGGGCTATTAGTAAATCAGCAATTTTAGTTTGCCAGTAGACTGCCTTGACACTTGGAGGTTTGTTATTGCCTTGCTGTAAGTCATTGCTTTTATGAGACTTATCCTTTGTGAACTAGCCAAACCCTCTTCTCTTCTCTTCTCTTCTCTTCTCTTCTCTTCTCTTCTCTTCTCTTCTCTTCCCTTCTCTTCTCTTCTCTTCTCTTCTCTTCCCTTCTCTTCTCTTCTCTTCTCTTCTCTTCCCTTCTCTTCTCTTCTCTTCTCTTCTCTTCCCTTCTCTTCTCTTCTCTTCTCTTCTCTTCCCTTCTCTTCTCTTCTCTTCTCTTCTCTTCCCTTCTCTTCTCTTCTCTTCTCTTCTCTTCCCTTCTCTTCTCTTCTCTTCTCTTCTCTTCCCTTCTCTTCTCTTCTCTTCTCTTCTCTTCCCTTCTCTTCTCTTCTCTTCTCTTCTCTGCGCTTCTCTTCTCTTCTCTTCCTCTTCCTCTTCCTCTTCCTCTTCTTCTCCTTTCTCTTCTCTTCTCTTTTCCTCTTCTCCTCCCCTCTTCTCCTCTCCTCTCTTCTTCTTCTCTTCTCTTTTCCTCTTCTTCTGTTCTCCTGTCCTCCTGTCCTCCTCTCCTCTCTTCCATTCTTCCTTCCTTTTTAAAAACATCAGTTCAAATGTCTCCCAAAATCTACCCCCAGCGAGGAGAAGGAAAATCACGAAATACCTCTCCCCACACTGGTGCCCACCAGAGGGGCTCAGCTACAGCTCTCTCGTCATCCTCTTTCCAGCCGGCCCGGCTGGGGAGGATGGGAGTTGTGATCCAGGCCCCCTGGAGGGTCATCTGGTCCTGGAGAACGTGAGAGCGATTCCCTGAAGTCAAGGGCTAGGAAGACAACGGGGAACGTAGCCCGCCAAGGCAATGAGAATGTAGCAGAGATGTGCCTCCCCCCCGCCCCACCGCGCCATTAAAAATAAATAAATAACCGGGCGAGCTGTCCGTGGTGCTGACACAGCAGGAGCCGCTCCGAGAACGCTCGGGAGCTCACGTTCAAATGTACTAAGAGGGAGTTTTAAAACAAAAACAAAAAGAAACACCTCTGTTGGCAGCGGAGAGATGGCTCGATTTATGGGCTTATTTATTTATTTTGCTCGGCTTCCGTGCCCCTCCGACTGCAGCCGGCGTTGCAAAACAGGGCTGATTCATGATATCAGAGAGGAAACCTAGAAAGGAGCACTTAAAAAAAAAAATCTGGCAATGTGCTTTTTTGGAAAGGTCTGCCTTGGACCGTGCCATGCTGTCCAGCAAGTTCTTCAAAGGCAAGTCCTTCAAGAAGCTGGGCTACAGTCGTATCTGCGCCATAGCCCCCCAGGGCAAACCTTTGCAGATGAGAAATGGTGTTTTCAGAGACAAGAAGGACCATCCTATATTTTGGCATCCTATATTTTTAAACCTAGTCCTTGCTGCTGGCCCAAACCTGCACCCCCACTCCTGGATAGCTGCTCTCAAGCTCCTAGTCCAAATATCCTTTCTACTTTCTTAATAGGAACATCCAATATGGTGAGACCTCAAGGCTTATCTAGACCGACCCCTATTGACCAAGGAGAGGTCAACTCTCTTCAAAACACACTGATGAGAAGGTGGTTTTCAGGACTGAAAGGAAATGGTTTGGAAAACTGAGGGGGAGGACATTTACCCATGGATATCAATTAGCTCTTTTAGCCTGTAATTTTAGCCCACCCTTCCTCCAACTTGATCAGGACAACATTCATAAATCACGTCTTGGTCCTCCAAACCATGCTCTCAACTGAATGAGGCTAAGAGGGCAAACGCAACGTAGGGCAGCAAGTTTTGTGTCTAAATGGAGATTAAAGCTGGAGGCACCACCATTTGTTTGCAGAACCACTTTGCAATATATTTAATCAGTCAGCAATTCTTTTTAAAGTGATGGTATGTGAAAGACTATACAATGTGCTTTCTTCTTCTTTTTTGGGAGGAGGTAGTGCAGAAATAGCTATGGAAAGAAAGCGGGGAAATTATATCTGTTTGACCTTGGTGGAACAGCAAAATGGAAGGGTTTGGTTAACTTGCTTTTGGGGATATCCAAGTGATAAACTTTCCTGTGGGTACATCTGTTGTTTAAAGTTGAACCAAACTTATCAGCCAGCCTTCTTCCTCAGCTTTGTGCCCCCTCCTCCCATAAAATGGCAAAGTCCAACAGATCAAGAGTGTGCCAAGCTGGGAGAAAGCTGAGCTAGAACAAGCCCTGCCTATCTCAAGGGAACATAATTATGTGGTCCCTCCAGAAGTGGGTGGGTAGTCAAGGTCATTAGAAAAGGTTTGATTTGCATTTCTCCCCTGATTGCTGATCGTGCATCATACCCTCCAAATCACAGCTGATAGCTAAAATATCTGGTGTTAAAATATCTTTCTTGATCAAAGAGAGAAGTTCCATCTTGAGCTATAGAAACAAAGTTTGGAACATGGAATTGTGTGTCTCTGTGTATGTCCATGCGTGCATGATGCACAGACATCTATGTACTATACAGTTGTAGAACTTGGACCAAGCCAACTCAGGTTCAAGTCTAGATTCAGCTAGGGAAGCTCAGGGGGTGACTTTGAGGAATTCACTCTTTCTTAGCCCAACCAAATAAACAAACAAACAAACAAACAACCACAACAGATTAGATAAGCTTACATTTCCCTCCTATAGTATTCCCCAAATGCAATTGACTGAAGTGGGGGGAGGAATTCATGTTCTTCATTTATCCTGGCATTTGGGGGGAGGTATGCAAAACATTCTTCCTTGGTTCTTTGGATCAGTCAGAAAAAGTTATTACTAGTGCTGTGTGGCTGAACACTTAATCAGTCCATTGTTTCTCTGTCTCTATAAGGTGAAATATTAAGTCTGTCCTCTCTCCTTCTTTCTCTCCTTCCTCTTTTGGAATTCTGTGCCAAGAATTCAAATGAGGTCCTCCTGAAAGGAGAGGAAAAGGCAGCTGGACCCTACACTCAGCCAGGATTAACACTGCTGTAATTAGGCATCGCTTCATCTTCCTTCCCCAATGACTGGGATTCTCTTTGTCTTTGGAATAAATGGGTACAGATGCTGCAGAATGGATGGGGCCACCTTAAAAAGTCTGGCACAGGAAGATTTCTAGACACCCCTTCTCTGGACCTCCCTAAAAAGAGGACCTCTTGAAAGGAAGGGAGAGAGATGGCTGAGAAGTGTCACAGCCATCAAGGTCAGATAAGGACCTCTCTTGACATCTTAAGGAGCAGCCAACTGCTTGCATCTTAAGAGTTCCTGGAGTGAAAGTCAGGTGAGTGGAGTGTGCATGCCTAGGTGTGCAAATTATGTGTCCCTGGGATGAAGGCTATCGTGTCAGACAAATTCACGTTTTTTATGGTAAGGATGGATTCCTTCTGTGATGGGCAAGGGCAGCTGGGTTCAACTAAGCCACAAGTGTTTTCCCCCTCCCCCTTCAAATGCCGATGTCATCACTGCATACAATTCTACTGCCTTGAGTTGGTGATGTCATCTGAGGATAGGTCCAACACTATCCATCATAGCAATAGTGTAGAAGAAATGGGTGGATTCGGTTTCAGTGTTGTCATAAGTTATGGACAGTTCAGGCCACTGAGTTATTGGGGAGTTCGCCTAGCTGTGCTGGGGAAAAGGACATCTCTCAAACCACCATGGGAGTTTTAAGTGCACTGCTGTTCCCTCTGATGTTTTATTCCCACCACAGACCCAAAAATTTCCCCTGAAGTTAACATAGGACTGAAGATAAGGAACCAAGCTAATAATTCTAGGACTCACCACATCTGAAGATCCTATCCATACTGTTGCAAGAAAGGGAAAGGAAAATGGTGCCAGGGCAATTGTAAGTCAAACTGTTCTCC